TAGTCCACGTGAATGAACTAGTATTTCCAGTAAATTATGTCGTTGACATGGATGATGATGGCTTACCGAATTTGAATTCAATTCTTCTAGGAAGGCCCATTTTGCAAACATCATATGCATAATTTGATGTTTATGATGGTACATTGTCCTTGGAATTTAATGGAGAGGTGATAAATTTCAACATTTATGATGCTATGTGATATCAAAGTGATATTTCATCTTTGAATTTTGTGGATGTCATTGAACCATTAAATGAAGAGTGTTTTGATTTGTCTAATCTTGATGTGTTAGCTCTCATTTTAGATAGGAATCTCTAAAAGGATGGAGTGGAGAAACTTTCCAAGCGATTCAAAATTGATGAAGAGATTATGGAAGTTGTATCTTGCATGGACCAAAAGAAGAAAATGAGGTTTAATGTTCCAAAACTGAAATTATCGATGTCATATGAGAAAAATTTTCCTTCTATTGTGTAGGCATCGGAGTTGGAACTCAAGACTTTACCCAAACATCCCAAGTAAGCGTATCTTGGAGAGAGAGACTTTACCCGTGATCATTTCCACAAAGTTAACAACAATGGAAGAAGAAGAAGAGCTTGTCACCACTTTGAAGGAGTATAAGGAAGCTATTGGGTGGACTATAGCCAACATCAAAGGGCTATGTCCTTCACTTTGCATTCATATAATACTTATGGAAGAAAACTACAAGCCTTCATGAGAAGCTCAAAGGCGTTTGAATCCTCCGATGATCGAGGCTGTGAAGAAAGGGATTTTGAAATTGTTGAATGTAGGGATGATCTATCCTATATCAGATAGCAAGTGCGTAAGCTCGATCCAAGTTTTACCAAAGAAGACAGGTATTACCGTTACAAAGAATGACCAAGGTGAATTAGCCCCCACCCATGTACAAAACAGGTGGAGAGTTTGCATAGATTATAGAAGACTCAATTCCTCAACCCGGAAAGACTATTTCCCACTTCCCTTCGTTGATCAAATGTTGGAAAGGTTAGCGGGAAAAACACACTATTGTTGCTTAGATGTGTATTTCGGTTTCCACCAAATACCCGTTGCACCTGAGGATCAAGAAAAAACCACTTTCACATGTCCCTTGGGAACATTTGCATACACGTGGATGCCTTTTGGACTTTGCAATGCTCCCGCCACTTTTCAAAGGTGCATGGTAAATATTTTTCTCAGAGTATGTTAAGGAAATCATTGAAGTATTTATGGAAGATTTCATTGTTTATGGTAATTCTTTTCACGAATGTTTGGGTAATTTGAAAAAGATCTTGCAAAGATGTATTGAGACCAACCTTGTTTTGAATTATGAAAAGTGTCATTTTATGGCGGATAAAGGTATCATACTTGGTCATATTGTGTCTTCTAAGGGTATAAAGGTAGACAAAGCAAAACTTGATGTCATTAAATCTTTACTTGCACCCTTGTCTTCGCGAGGTACGCTCGTTTCTTGGTCATGCAAGTTTTTATAGAAGATTAATCAAAGATTTTTCCAAGATATCTCTTCCTATGTGTGAGCTCCTACAAAAATATGCAAAATTTGAATTTTCCATGCAATGCAAGCAAGTTTTTGATCGGTTGAAGGAGTTGTTAATTTCAACACTAATACTTCTATCTTTGGATTGGAGTTTACCCTTTGAAATGATGTGTGACGCTAGCAATCATGCAATTGGTGCAGTGTTAGGGAAAAGAAAATACCGAGTTCATCATGTCATTTATTATGCCTTAAAAACACTTGATAGTGTGAAAGCCAATTACTCGACAACTGAGAAAGAATTTCTATCTATTGTCTTTGTTTAAGAGAAATTTCGTCAATATGTGTTAGGTTCTAAAGTGATTGTTTATTTTGATCATGCAACTATTAGGTATCTACTTGCAAAGAAGGATTCAAAGCCTAGACTCATTCGATGGGTATTAATCTTACAAGAGTTTGATATTGAAATCAAGGACAAGAGCGGAAAGTCAAACCTTGTGGTGGATCATCTTAGCAGGATTGTTTCTCTAGATAACTTAACTCCCATTCATGATGCATTTCCCGATTAGAATCTATTGTTAGCACAAGTTGACCCATGGTATGCCGATATTGTGAACTACATCGTCACAAATCAATTTCCACTAGATTTGACTCGATGGCAAACAGATAAATTCAAGAAAGAAGCCAAAAGGTACGTATGGTATGAGCCATATTTGTGGAAATATTGTGTTGGTCAAATGATTAGAAGATATGTGGAACAACATGAGGTATCTTTTAACTTAACATTTTGTCACTCTTATGCTTGTCAAATGATTAGAAGTATGCTTGTGTTAGAGAGTGATTTTATTGGCCAAGTATTTTCCATGACTCTTATATTTTTTGTGCAAGCTGTGATAAATGTTAAAAGATGGGTTCTTTAAGCTCAAAGAATCAAGTTCCCCTTAATCCCATTTTAGTTTGTGAATTTTTTGATGTTTGGGGCATTGATTTTATGGGACCTTTGCCCTCATCTTTGGGTTTTACTTACATTCTTTTGATTGTGGATTATGTCTCTAAGTTGGTGGAAGCAAAAGCCACACATACTAACGAATCAAAAGATATAATAGATTTCTTGAAAGCTAACATATTTTCTAGATTTGGTGTTCCGAAAGCCTTAATCGGTGATTGTGGTTCACATTTTTGCAATCGTAGTTTGGAAGTGTTTTGAAGAAGTATGGTGTTACTCATAAAGTCTCCACAGCATATCATCCACAAACAAACAGACAAGCTGAAGTGAGCAATTGAGAACTCAAGGGTATGTTGGAGAAAACTGTCAATACAAAGAAAGATTGGAGTACTCATCTTGATGATGCTTTGTGGGCGTATCGCACTGCATTCAAAACTCCAATTGGGATGTCTCCATACCGCATTATTTTTGGAAATCCGTGTTGACTAACCATTGAGTTGGAACATAGAGATTAATTTGAAGTCAAGCAATTCAATATGGATTTAAATGAATCAGAAAAGAAGACAAAGCGTGGCATTCAATAGCTTGAAGAGATCCGCAACGAAGCATATGAAAATGAAGTTCTTTAGAAGTAAAACAGAAAAGCAACCATGACAAGATGATTTCACGCAAGGTATTTGAAAAAGGTCAAAAGGTATTACTTTACCACTCTCGTTTCAAATTAATACCTAGGAAATTAAGGAACCGTTAGGTGGGACCATTTGTTGTCACTAATGTTTTTGAGCATGGTGCAATAGATATCACAAGTGAGAAAACCAGGAAGAATTTTAAGGTTAGTGGTCATCGTTTAAAGCCTTACTAAGGATTTGAAGTAAACAAAAAAAAAAACAAGGAAGTGGAGGAAGTAGCAGATCCAATGTACCAATATTGACAAATAATTGGGGTCCATGTTGAGCCACCGACTTTCAACAAGGCCAGCTACCCAAGATGCAACTCGGGGGTATTTTGGTTATTTTTGTAAAATATTCATATGGACATTTCTCTTCCAAGTTTTTGTGTTCTAAGGTTCTTGGAATAATTAGGGGAGTCTAAAAATATTTTTTATGAAGATTGAAAGTGAACGGGTGCAAAAATAAGAAAAATCACCATGCGTTTCTCAGAGCATTACACGGGCCGTGTAATGCAATATGGGGCTTGATTTCAGAAATGTGGGTGTTACACGGCCATGTAACAATAACCTTGTCATTACATGGGCCGTGTAACGAGACCTACACTAAAAAAATAATAAATAGAAAAAATAAAAAAACTGGTTTTTTTAAATACAACAAAGTGGCAGCTTATTGATTCCAGTCGACTCATTTCGTTCTTCTTCTCTCTTATTCCCTTTCACCAAAAACGCACGCAAACACTTCAAATCTTCAATTACACCATGGATTTAAGCAAGAAAGGTATGATTTTTTCACCCCTACTTCTTCCTTACACTCAAGCAACTTCAAAATACCATTTTTAATGGTGATTTTTGGAAGACCCTAGAAATTAGGGTCCAAAATTTTGAAATTTCTTCAAATTGCTTGTAGGATAAGCTTGGGGAAGCATTTTGGAAGAGACTACAAGTGATTTCAAGCACTAAATTCGTGTTTCAAGCTCCAAATCAGGTATTCTCTTTCCAATTCCTTGACTTTGCATTGTTAGTCATTAAAGCTTCAATCTTTGTACTTAAACTGTCGAATTGAGTGTTAATTATGTGTTATTCCTTTGAAGTGGTTGTGCATTGTGTTTAAGAGTCAAATTTTGTGCTTAAATTTCGTTTCTCATGGCTTCATCTTCTTGTGGGGGTGGTAAAAAGGGTAATTCCAATCATTCTAGAGTCATTGAGTCTAATGTAAGTCAACGTGACCCAAACCCTTCAGGCCGAAATTCCGATGAATTGGCATTTTTAGAATCTCAACAAGAAGCTGGGTATCATAATTTTCTTGGACGTAGGCGTGCAACACAGAAATTCACATACATGCCCACTCTTGAGTCTCTCCATATACATGACCAAGTCAATGTTTTGTTTAAAAATATTGGACGGGAAGGGTTGTTGTCATTGCATGATGTTGGTTATGTCCAACCTACTATTGAATTTCTGTCATTTGTTTCGTTTAATCATCGAACTGAGTATCTCTCCTTCCAAGCTTTTAGCCGTAATTATCAGTTGCATAAAAACCGATTATGTGAATTCATTGGTGCTCCAATTACTAAAACTTACAACCCATTTCACATATTTAATTTTCCATTTCAAGAGGATTCTAAAGCTTTTTGGGGGAGAATTTTAGGATTGAATTATTTTCCAAGCACTACCAAAGCATCAAGTATCATTCATCCTGTTCTAAAGGCCACTCATCGCATCCTTGCCTCTATTGTATTTCCACAAAATAAGATAAGCAAGGTTGGCCAAAAAGAATTAGAGCTTATGTGGTGTATGATCCACAACCCAAATTAACTTCCTGATTTAGGATTATGGATCATTTTCAAACTGTTGAAAAAATACCACAGCACCAATGATAAATTACTTTTTGGGGGTATGATCATAATTATCCTCAAACACCTAACTCTTGCCATTCTTTTTCCACCTGACCTTGATGTCATTGAAGGAGAAACTCGCCTAACGACAAACATCTTGAGAAATATGCATTTGTTCCATCTAGAGTATGAGACACATGTCGTTTATTGGGCTATTAATAGTCGTGATTATCTCAGTGTTGATCATCAAAATGCCCAGCTTCTTCAATTGTCCGATCCCATATACAACATTGTGTGACACCTTAGGTCCAATTTAGGTGTTTCGATGCCTGAGCCTGACCCTGATTCTGAGGAGGATAAACCCATTCCTGATGCAACCATACATGATGTTGCTGCTCCAGTGCAACAAGAGCGTGTCACGCATCCCTATCATGACATGTATATGTAAGAGTTTCGTAGGTTGCATGAAGAAAATAGGCGTTTGCATCATGATTATTTTGAACTTTATGATAGTGTTTTTGAAATAAATACTGAGATGGTGGAGTTTAGAGAAGAGTTTTATACCTTTAGAGACAATCAACAAGCACACAACCAACATGTGGATTCCCTTGTGACTAACATGCATAGGGTACTTGGTTTAGGTGGTCAACCCACACGACCACCTTATTACTCTCAATATCCACACTACCCTCCACCGTATAATCCATAATTTCACCTCAATATCCTCCACCATTTCCACCTCAAGATCCTCCTCAGTAATCCGTCCCGTTCTCTTCCCAAGCATCGAGGATGATGCATATTTTTAAGCTTGGGGAGAGGTGTATTATCTGTATCATATTTCATTGCATCTTGCATTTTAAAAAAAAAAAAGTAATTTTGTTTTGATCCAATTCGAAGCAACCGAATCTTCTTAAAAGAGTTGAGTTAGTAAGTGAGTCGTTGTGGTATGCCTTGAGATTAGACTTGCTCGTTTTTCATTAAAACCTTAAAGCGGTCCAATCACACATGAGCACACCTCCCAAAGCTATTAATGCAAAACATAAATGAAAATGTTTTCAACACCGGAGCAGAACGACAGGTATAAGTCAACATGTGGGACATGTGACTGGTCTTATGAGTAGTAAGTTCTCAATTGAAACCAAACGCCAAATTCAAGAAATCATAAAAATAATTCAAAAAAATGGCAGTGACCTGAGCCTCCCAGTACTCTAAAAAGTCCTTTCTATTTATCCCCTTTTATATACCTTTCTTGGGGACATAGTTTCCAACTATACTTACGGGTCTTTGCGTGTTAACATCAATCCCCCAAAAAATGTGCTAGAAGCTCCTTACGATATTAGACCGTGAGATGTTCCAACAATAGAAAAGTCAATGACAAAAATATAAAGAAATAAGCTTAGAACATAAATTTAAAAAAAGGCTGTATTATGTATTGTTTTAAGTCAATAAAAAAATAATAATAAATAAATAATATAAAATTAAAAAAAAATATTAAGTTAATCTGTGACCTTTGGGACTCAAATAAGTAAACTCGAAGGGATGTTCTACATCTAATCGCCTAAAGATGAATTGTTTAGGACCGATTGGGTTGAAAGTTCGTTACACGGGTGCAGGACCAAAATATATATGGTTTGCGCTAGGCATCAATATATGGATGAGATAGGGCATTTGGCAATGTATTTTGGAGTCTTTTGTGTATGCTTAATGTTTTCAGTTTTGGAAGTATTTTTTGGTCAAAGTGTGACCGAAAACCAGTTTTCGGTCTGCCAACCAAAAACTGTTTTCGGTCCTGGCTTGTATAAGATGTCAGGTTGTCAGGTTCGAGGTTCAGTTGTACTTTCAATAGTTTTCGGTTCGTGAGTTATATTAGATGGTTCAAGTGATTAATCGTATGCAAGCTCAGTTACATTCATCTTCTACTCCATTTCTACTTCGTTTTCTTATGCTTGATTGATCATTGGTGAAGATCCTTCCATCCAGGACCTAACAAATATAACTGAATAATATGTTTAGGAAAAATGCTTGGCTGCTAAAAGATTCCTTTAGACTTGGACTTGAACTTATGACATTGGGACTAACTGTTAATTACTTTGACTGGTGTAAGTGGTTTGAAATTTGTAACATATCTCGGTAAATTTTAAGGAATTTTTATAAAATATCTTTTTAGAAAAAGATTATTGTTGATCAACAAACAGCTGGAGTCGGTCATTTTCATATTTTGTAAAACAAAGATGATTGAGCATACTTTTGTCACACGTATTTTTCACGAGAGTAAGGTCGTAGTTCGTTCCATGAGTTGATTTGATACTAATAAGAGGGAATAAGTGTTATGAATTTCGATTATGTTGAGTTGCATTAGGGAATAGCCAAAAGTATTTCCTTTTAATGTTATATAATATTGTGGGACTAAAGTCAAGTTGACTCAAGGCACAATACATTCTCAACCATGGTACAAAAATGAGGTCATTTGGATTGGATCCCTATCATGTTTATTTTAGTTATTACATCAAGTTTCTTTTTGTTACTTTCTTTTTATCTTTTCTGATCTAAATTTTCGTGTTCTTTCTTGGGGACAAGAAACAGTGATTTGCATTTTATTATTATTACTTTATCCCATTATTTGTTGGTTTGACCACCAAACAGTCTCCATCCGGGATTTGGATTTTACTTGGTCTAGCAGGTTATTATTGAAGATTCACCAAGGATTTCTCCAAGATTGTTGTTCCATTAACCCGAGGGCATTAAGGATTTCCTAGTGTATTGTGATGTGTCTATCACCGGCTTAGGCGTAGTACTGACGCAGAGGGGACACATCATCACTTATGCCTCGAGGCAGATGAAGCCTCGCAAGGCGAATTACCCGACACACAACTTGGAGTTGGGGGTAGTTGTTTTTCCCTCAAGGTTTGGTGACACTACCTTTATGGGGTCCGCTATACTATCTACACAGACCACAAGAGCCTGAGGTACTTTTTAGATCGAAAAAATCTGAACATAAGACAGTGATGTTGGTTGGATGTGGTGAAGGATTACAACTGTGAGATCCTTTACCACTCGGGGAAGGCCAATGTGGTGGCCAATGCTCTTAGCGACAAGGCGGCCGTAGCTCTGATTCCGAATATATGCTTGAGGATGACAGTGATTACTCCGCTATTGGAGCGGATTTGGGAAGCTCCGGTTCAGTGTATAAAGGTGGAGAGGCGAAAGTGTGAGTGAATCATAGGGCAGGTAGCTTCATTCGACTATGATAGCCATGGATTGTTGACCCTGCATCGTAGGGTCTGGCTCCTTACTGGGGTGGTGTACGCCAGGTTTTAATGGTGGAGATGCACCAGTGAGATTCTCCATTCATCTCGGGGCAACAAAGATGTATCGGGATCTTTGTCTTGACTATTGGTGGCCCTACATGATGCGAGACATAGCTTGGTATATGGAGCGATGCTTGACTTATAGGAAAGTCAAGGCCTCGCATCAGCGACCTCACGGAAAGATATAATCGTTGGAGATTCCAGTGTGGAAATGGGAAGACATCACTATGGATTTCATCACAAAGCTTCCGATGACCGCACATGTGGTAGATTCTATCCTGGCCATCATGGATCGACTGACCAAGAGCACCCATTTCATCAGGGAGGTAGTTGCTCGGTATGGGCTGCCAGTTTTTGTGATTTCTGAAAGGGATGTGCGGTTCACTTCTAGATTTTGAAAGAAGTTTCATGACGAGCTAGGCATTTGACTACACTTCAGCACGACCTTCCACCCACAAACGGATGGTCAAAGCGAGCGGACCATTCAGAATTTGGAGGATATGTTGCAGGCCTGCGTTCTAGACTTCAGTGGTAGCTGGGATACCTACCTTCCTTTGGTAGAGTTTTCCTATATTAATAACTATCATGCTAGTATCGAATGACCTCCCTTTGAGATGCTTTATGGGAGGAAGTGCAGGACCCCGATATGTTGGGTTGAAGTTGGGCAGAGGGTCATGGGGAGTATTGAAGTGGTACTCAACATGACAGAGATAATCGAGCAGGTCCAGAGTAGACTCCAGACTGCCCAGAGTCGGTAGAAAAGCTAAGCTTATAGACGCCAATTGGACTTAGAGTTTCAGGTCGGGGATATGGTCCTTCTGAAGGTGTCACCTTGAAAAGATGTCATCCGCTTCAGAAAATAGGGCAAGCTGGGCCTCATGTATATCACAACTTTTAGGGTTACTACCTGAGTGGGCAAGGTGGTATATCGGTTGGAACTCCCGTTAGAGTTTAGATATAGATCCACAACAACTTTAATGTTTCGCAGCTGCGAAAGTGCAAAGACAATGATACCGCGGTGGTTCCTTGTGAGGACATTCAGGTGGATGATAGTTTGAACTACATTTAGAGACCAGTAGCCATTCTTAACAAGAGGACGAAGGATTTGAGGAACAAGAGGGTAGACATGGTGAAGGTGCAGTGGCAGCAGCGTAAGGGCTTAGAATGGATGTGGGAGCCTGAAGACAAGATAAGGGAGCACTACCCAGAGCTATTTCCAACCATAGCAGACTTCGAAGATGAAGTCTGATTCAAGTAGGGGACAATTGTAATGCTTGATAATTCTCCAAGGTATTATTTATATATTTGGTTAATTATTTTATATTGAATGGGCTTGGATCCATTGGATCCTTACTAAGTAGACTTCAGGGTGTCGTACATTAGGCGAACCACCATGTGTACGTGCAATGTACTAACAAGGGATGATCGTGTATGCCTTTCACGTACGTGCAACATACCAAAGAGTGCGCGCGGTGTACGAGTGCAGACCACAAACCCTAAATTTTAGGGTTTGCACCCTATTTAAGCAACTTCTAATCCTCCAAACCCTTATCCTTTCAGCCTCCCTTGACCTCATAGTGCCCAACTCGAAACCTAACTCCATTACATGTATCTTGAGATTACTTTGAGCATTTTGGTGTTGTTTTGGTGGTTTTGAAGAGCAAGTAATTTGAACAAGGAGTAAGTAATTGAAGAGAGCTTGTAGATCCAGAAGTTTGGCATCTTTCTGATTTATTTGAGGTATCAAGCTCCAACCTTGACCGTTGCATGTTAGATGTATTTTTGGGGTGTTTTATGTCACATTTTCATCCCATAATTGAGATCCCTTGAGTTTTTGAAGAATTTGTCCATAAGAGTTGTCCTTTTGAGCTCTAGGAAACATTTAGGACAATAAAAATCAGATCTTGAAGGTTTAACCCTAACCATGCAAGTGATAGATGGCCACAAAGTGAGCTTATGGACTTAATGTGTGTCTTAGTCCCCATACATGCATTAAAAAAGCATAAAGCTCATAACTTTATGGTTAACACCATTGTTAGGAGTATAGATCTGTGTTTTGGACGTTGGGACTTAATGGATTAAGTCAAAAGAAGGATTTTAGTGTGACTGGTAAGAATGTTGGGCATACACCCTGGTACGCTGCATTTTCCAGGTCAACTTCCTGCTTCTGGTCAAGGCCAGTGTATGTGTTAGGTACACCGCACGTACGCATGCAGAGTGGGTAACATGGGTTTTGGGCCTTGGGAGATTAGGCCTAAATTTATTGGGCCTCATGACCCACTATGGAGTAAGGCCTCTCGGCCTAGGAATGGGATTTATGGTTTTGGGCCTTTTGGGCTTTAAAGCTTAGAGGAATGGGCTTGGACCTTAAATGGATTATGGGTTGGAGCTTGGGGGAAAG